CAGAGCCCCTTTCCAGCCTGAGACACAGCCCCTTTCCAGCCAGCTCAGAAAGACTGTGCTCTCAGAGTCTTCATGAATTTCACTCTGCCCCAGATGCACTGTGGAATGGCAAGAAAAATGGAGATGTCAGAGAAAGAGAAAATGCTGAGCAGACAGGAAGTGATTTTAACTTGTCCCAGATTATCTAGTGGAGGCTTCCACGCTCAAGAGCTGTCAGCAGTGCAAATTGCTCTGCTCTAATCAAGCTCCTCTCAATATTACAGGTGAGTGTGACCGAGAAGACAGTAGGCAGACCGGAAATAATAAAACAGTGCGGAGAACAGGCACAGATCTGTGCAGTGGCTCCCACACAGCCAACAAAGAAATCATGCTGTGTTATTGCTCGACAAAAACAGTAACTGGGAAATATTTCATTGCAATGAAATAACTCTTAGAAGAGTTCAAGGGGGAAGCTGTCAAAATGGCTAGAATATTTTTATTTCTAATTGCATTTCAATATTTTATCCAAACATCAATCTGTATATTTTACATCACAGGACATTGAATTGATTATTGCCATGAAAAGGAAAATATCAATTATAGTTGGGGTAATCATGATTATAATTTAGTGAATTCTAGAGTTGAACCTGTCTAAAGGAATATTTCCAATTAGTCAACCAATTCTAATAAGGAATAGTTACATTAGTACTAGCTATGTATCATCTGAACTATCTGTATATTACTCCAAAAGACTATGATATAAGTAATCACACTGTAGCTTCATGGATTATACTCAGGTTATTTTGTTCTGCAAATGGAAATGCTCAATAATAAGAAAAGGAATACCTGTACTTTGGTACTGCTTTGAATCATGTCTGGCCAGTATTAGTGCCACTGAAAGTCACTGCTTGTTCAGCCACCCTCCCAGCAGAGAGAACCGGAGGACAAGCAGAGTTTGGTGAGCAGGACTTGGGGTGAAAGTGAAGATGTGGTGCTCATCTTCAGGTTAATCATGGGCTGACAGGGCAATGACCATTCTATACACAAAAGTCATTTCCTATCCTAAAAATCTACCTTCCTGAGGATATAGAATGCACATGGGTCCTACACAGTCATTTCCTACTCAGATAACTGAAGATCTAGCCTATCTTACTGAGGGAAAAACTGGCAACACAGGAAAATAGTGGCTTATAACTGAGAACCTCATTCTCTCTTAATTGTAGGTGACCGACATTGGCACCACAATTTGGGGCCATCAGCAGCTCCACAGTGCGTCAGACATCAGGATCATTCATTCTGTACAGGAATGTGGGGGCTCATAAGCAAAGAACCATAAACAAAAGGAAAATGCTGACCCCTCTCACTTCTCCTGCTGGCTACAGTTTCCCTCCATTTCCTTTTTCTTTCAAGCAAAATAACAAAGTAAATATTTTATTAATGTTTGACTTATTGATGATGATTGCAGGAAAGTACAGAATTTTAATTAGGAAATTTACAGCTAAAACTGGACCTCTAAAGATGTTTACATACTCACTGATCTCATTAAGCAATATTAATAAATCAGGTTACTAGTAAATTATAACTGACTTTATAATTTGATATAATTTATAATTAAAAGCACTTTTATCTCAACAGTGGTATTTTATGAAGCCTTTAATTAATATTGAGACAAAAGACAAAGAACTCAAAATCCTACTTTTCAATTCAACATTAATCTCTAAAGAACACTGATTTTCATTCTGTAGTTGTCCTTTAAAATTTAGATACCAGTGTAACTGCTCTGGTTAGTCCCTTGATGGTTAAATCCAAAGCTCTTCCTAAATAAAAACAGACAATTTTGAGATATGCAGTGGAAGCAGAACTTGAAACAATAACATAGCTAATAAAATCTCAAATTGTAAAAGAACACAAAAAAGGGGAAAAAACTATCAACAAAATCAAAAGAAGTCACATTAGAAAAGTAAATTATAAGGTTGAGCATGTTAAACATTAACAAATGGGCACAAGATTGGCCCACGTGTGAAGATCTTGTTCCAGGAACCCTGGTCTGACAGCGACTGTAACAGATGCCCAGGGAACAGTGCATGTGAGGTAGGCTTTTGTCTGCCTGCAACCCACTCATCTATGGCTCTGCAGATAGATTGGTACCATCAGGATCACTCTACCTCCACCTTGTCCTGAGCATGTTTTGCTGATAAAATAGGTTAGACCAAAGACTGAACTTAGAACTAACTTAGGTCAGACCAAAAATTGAAATCAGTGAACACTGATTTTAGGAATAGAGTTTAAGATTTTGCTTTGCAGCATTTTCCTGCAGAATCTTCAAAGCCAAACACCAACAGGCAGACTCTAGCACACCTTAGGGTTTAAGGAAAGTTGTTCATGAATATCAAATATTTTTGTCTTTAAGTTCCCTGAACTTGCTTGATCTCATTTAATGTATTTTCAATAACATTCTGAATAGAACATTTTAGTTCAAAAGGAAATGCCTTATTCAGTTTTCCCATATTGATGCAAAAAATTATATATGAAAAGGCATTCAGCCATTTGCCTATACTTAGGAAGTCACGGTATCTTAGAAAACATTCTGGGGTTCAAAGCAAAAGTCAGATTTTCCTCATTCCATTGTCAGGGGCATAACAAGACTCAATTAGCAAGTATTAATACAGGCAGGAAACCTGCTCAGGATTACTCATGAACCATAAAGACAGTCTTACTTAATCCAGCTGGGAGATAAAGCCTTCCATCGTTCTGACTTTTCTGTATCACAGTGCTACCCTATATTTCAGTGAAAAGGATGGTATTATAAGCTCTCACTGCATGCAGCTATATTAGCTCTTCTTATGGCTATAAACCCAGTAAGTTCTCTGGCCTCAGGTGCTTTGGAATCTTCACTCTTCTTTCTTTACACAAGAGAATGAGTGAGATGCTTTGTTCTCTGAGATCTAGCCAGTGACACAACAGCTCCTTTTGGAACTGCACTGAGAACAGCGGGAGTCAAAGGCTCCTGATGCTGAGCAAACACAGGTGTGGTCACTGAGGAAGCAGGGAGACAAATCTAGAGACCTGATAGTACACAAGAAAAACTGTGCACACAGAAAGAACCCTGGTTAGGTGCAAAAGACCTCAGGACAGTACTTAGCTGCCTGAATTTGGACCTTTCCCCCAGATTTATCATAAGTGCTAAACCAAAGTCATTGCACGGATGTATTAGCCTCTATTCTGTTGCCCTAACAAAATCCCAGTGCTGTGGGAAGCTGAGATAGGAGAATAGCAGGTTAAAGAGTCAGTGAGACCCTGCCTTAAATTTAAAAAAAAGAGAAAGTTTTAAAAATCCTGTGGTCATAGCTCGAAGTGAGGCTCTGGAGTCAGTCTTCAGTGTTACAGGAAGAAAGACAAAAGCAGAAAGATGGTAGCAAGACAAAGGAATGAAAAAAGGAAGGAAGGAAGGAAGGAAGGAAGGAAGGAAGGAAGGAAGGAAGGAAGACAAAACCAAGTTCTTAGAAACTGAGTGTTTTTGGTTTTGTTTTTGTTTTTGTTTTTTTTTTAAAGAGGCTACTTTAGGTGAGAGTTTTGCAGGGCACCACCATCTGCTTAGCGTCTGGGACATGCCTCTTCTGCTGGGTTACGACATGCAGAAAAGCAATAAGGGCACAGGCCACAAGCAGAAGAAGCCAAGTGCAAAGGAAAGCCTTGATTCCTAAGACTCTACCATCACAAGAACACTTTAGGGTTCTGCAAGAGCTACATTTATCCCCATGAAGAGGAGGCCACCAATGGCTTACTTAACCCCTTTCTGCTAGGTAAAGCCCAGCTCTCAAAGGTCCCAGCAACTCTCAGTGTGCTATGTCGGGCCCTGTGGTTCCAGTACATGCACATTTGGGGAACACTCAAAGCCTTAGTCAAAGCCTAGCTCTGGCCTAGCAAATAAAGGTGTTCTGATGTTCAACTAGGTAATGCATAAGGCACCGCTTTGACAAACTACGGCAATAAAATTAATGATTTGGTCAAAACACCCACCATGGATTTCTGTTACTGTAGGAAAAACAACCTCTACAACCCAATGAGAAGCTTGTAAGTGCTCATTGGAACCATGAACCCTGTGAGGTCAGGCACTGAACCAGCAGAGAGGTAACACTGATGGTTCAGCATCGTCTTTCTCTTCTCGTCTACTGGGGACTTTGTGTACTGTGACCATGAAATCCTGACATTTTATTAATTCACACATGTTTTTCTATGACTGACTGAGTTAAGATATTCTCAAACTTCCTGCATTCAAACACATTTTTAAGTTATTCTCATAGGGTTAAGGTTAAGGTTACAGTTAGGGATATATACCATATATATCTGCTTAAGACCCCAATTAACCAGCTATGTTTAAACATTTTGATACAATGTGTTCTTTCACATAAAGAAAAGTAATTGAATGAAAATTATTAGGTCCCTAGTCTTGATCTGTTAATGTAAGACTACAAGTTAAATGAAAAAGCTAATTTGCATAAAGTAGGCATATAATAATTGAATACCATATTTTAAAACTTAGGAGGTTGAAGAGTTTTGTTAATTTTCCTTAGAGCATTTAAACAGAGCATTAACAAATTTCATGAGGGATGTATCTGCTTCTTCACACAGAATTAATACAACTGATGTGAACATGGATATTTCAATTATAGACTGTTCAATATAGTTGAAGTCGTATTTATGAAAAATAAAACATGCTTTTATTTAAAAATCAATGCTAATTAATATAAAGTTAGCCATGTTTTGCTTCATTTTTTCCCAAATGCACTAGTTCCTATAAAATTACTTCAAAAGCGTTAGGAATCAGAAAATACTAAGACATCACTATGCAGAGGGATAATAAAAATTCAAAGAGACACCATCAAAAGCTGAACAGAGATCAAGGTAGAAATGCAGTTACTTTCACATAAAACTTTGGCATGAGCATTAAGGGGAGAATTTTACAAATATTAAAGTAAATTTTAAGAAAAAAAATTCAGAAGCCAGTCAGAGTCTCTTACCCTGAAAAACTCTTTAGTGGAGCCAGAGTCTAATGTTCCGTAAGCAATTTCTGTTTGCTTAGAGAGATCCTCGGCACTTTCAATGGGAGACACCATCCTCTCTACAGTCAGGAAGGCAGCTAAGTTAGCCGTGTAGGAGGAGATTATGATCAGGGTAAAGAACCACCACACACCTCCGACAATGCGCCCAGAGAGGGATCTAATAACAAGCATGAGATCGATTTGTAAAGCGAAATGACTGAACAACAAAAAACAAGTTAGCAGCAATATGCAAATACTGACTTACAGGGAAAGATTTCATTGTACGCTTTTCCACATGTCGACTAGCTCATGAAGTTAAAACATCTCATTAAACATTTGGAGCGAGGGGTACAGACTGACTAGATTTCATGATATCCCCAGTGGCCAAAACCTCAGGTTCCTAGGATTCATTCATAGTTATGTGCTGAACTCCACAATAAGGTGGCTTTGAGACATCAACAGATAGTTCATCTACAATCACAGTACTTTACCCACCAATGGCATAAGTAAATAAATACAAGATAATCTAAGATCACCAGGAAAATTCATAAGAATGTACACAAACAAAATCAAACATTAAAAAAAGAAAGAAGATCCATAGATGTAACACTAAAAATAAAGAAAAGGCTACCTACACATGACCTAGATCTTCCAAGTACTCAAAAAGGCCCAAACATTCATCAGGATTTTATGTGCACAAAAATGTGGCTATTTAATACAGTGTAGGAAGGAAAATGGAAAAAATGATACTGCATGCAAAGGTATGATACAACATGCAATTCTTAATGAAAAAGTCAAACATACTGCCAGGGCCCTATTCCTTGTGTCTCCTACTTAGGATAAAAAAATCAAATGATAAACAAATTGGATGGTAATCCAGGTCTTTCCCAGAATGAAATATATAAGTGTGACAGCATTTCTGTGACTACGAATTCTTACAATGCCTTCAAATAATTGATTTCAAATAATTTGTTTCAAAATTTGAAGTATAGATACATCAATGCAGAAAAAGACACCTACCATATTGTTCTGTGACATTTGATGGATTTCTTCATGAAATTAAAAAATTGGAGCACTAGTAATTATTATCCAGTGAAGTGACTGTTTTGTTTTTAATAACACTGCTATCTCTAAATTTAGACTTGCTAGAATAAAATGATAATATTTCTAAACATTTAGATCACAAAATTTGGAGGGTATGGCCTAAACTAATGTTCATGGTAATTAGCATTAAGAAAAAGTATCTGTGATAAACAGGTGCTAGACTGAAAGTTTAGGTGAGAGAGAGACAGAGAGAGAGACAGAGACAGAGAGACAGAGGCCAGCTCATTTAAAATGAGAGATGTTTTAAGATAAAATTATGTTGCTTAAAAAAAAAAAGAGAGAGAAATAAATAGCCATGAAGGAACAAAGGAAGAACAAAAAGAATGTAATTAAGAGCCTGTATCTCAAGTCTTCAGGAGTTGGGAAGAAACAAATATGATAACATGGGAAAAGTGAAGCCCTTTTCTTTCTACCCTGAAATGGGTATTAAATACACTGTGCATTTGTGAAATGCCTTAGGTGGATGCAGACACTCTCAGAATGTCCACTATTCCTTCACGGCGGGGGTTATAATCGTTCGAACTCCTTACAACAAAACTTGATTACCAGCTAATTGCTTTTGACTCCATATGCTGCATGATAATTTAAAATATATCTAGAAATCATTTTTAGGTGTTGTTCTGTCCCAGTTATAAAAGTAAAGACAAAGTAATATCAATTGTCCTCAATTCCTGGGCTTAAACCAGCACTAATGGGACTCAATATTTTGATTAAAATGTATAAGGTAGCTCAAAAGTTTATTGATCGTGCAAGGTTTCACTCCAAAGTGAAAAAAGCTTAATCAGTTCATTATTTATTTTTCAATCTTTTATAGCATTAATGTTTCTCAAAGAGTTCTTGAGAAATATTACTCAGAGAGGTAAATTCAATTTAACTTATGGTGAGAGACAGAAATGGTTTCTCTAAAAGAGAATGGTTTCTCTAAAAGAGAAAAATATTTATTTATCATGAGCATTAACAAACAAATAAATGCATAATTTTTTGGTTTTAAGCTTTATTAAATATTTTAAATGCTGTTATCTTTTTATATGTACTTAAATGTTTCAGAGATTTGGAGGAACAAATATGGCATAATGTTCTTACAATTTCTGTGGTTCTAGGGTTCTTATAAAACTGTCACTTATAGCGAACATATTCTAAACTTAATTTCAGGAAATGACCAAGTCAGCATGTCCAATAAATTATTTTAGATTCAAATTTAAATGTGTCACCAACATTAATAATAGTCACATCATTTAAACTTTTTAAATAGTTAAAGAGCATTTCTCAAGTAATATGTGTATTTCAAATATAAAAAAAATTGAGCTGGGGATTTTTCTCAGTGGCTCAAGTGCTTGCCTGGTAAGCACGAGGTTGTGAGTTTAATCCCTGTACTAAAAAAATCTATTTAACTCTTCTGATATAGAGTGGCCATCCATCACTGTGTTCTAAAACATGATACTGGGTTTGTTTATAAAAATCATAAAATTTGCCAAAAATATAGAGTAGGTTCAATTTTTTTTTTTTGGTCTTTTTTCTTTTTTATCGGTACCAGGGATTGAACCCACAACTGCCTGCTTGCAAGGCAGGCGCTTATGCCGCTGGGCTAAATCCCTAGGCCCGTAGGTTCAATTTTTATATGCATATAGAACATAAAGGGAAATGTAAGTATATTCTAAGTTTTTTTTTTAATGAATGAATGTTACATATTTGAAATACAATATAAACAAGCAAAAATATGCTACCCAGAATATGCTATTATCTTATAAGAAATATGCTATGCAAAATACACTATATATCTTATTAAGAAATTAATATTACACATGGAAAATTGTAATGAGACAAGACTCATGAAAGAAATCAAATACGTACACCACACACACACACACACACACACACACACACACACACACACACAACCTATTCAGAAGCAGGTTTGATGAAAATAAGGTGTGTATATGTCACAGTGGGCCCTGGGGCATTAACAAATTGATCTGTGCTCCAGCGAATACGTTCCCACCCCTCAATAAACCCTGGGAACCCAACTGGCACCCGGAGAACCAGCAAGTGTGTGGGCAGAGGTGTGTGAAAGACAAAACAGTCAGCGCCTGGGAATCCAGGTCATTCTCTCTGCTTCTGACCAGCCCTACGCACTCTTTGCTGCCCCACAGAGAACACAGCTTAGGTCATCGGGACAACTGTTTCACGTCTCAGAACAGAGACTGTGGCACTGCAGGCAGACCATTGCTTTAGAATTGCCCTGCAAGATCTCAATTTGCTTTGCTTTCTGTCTTTTGTTATTAGAAATTATTTTTTTAGTTAATTTAGATAAACTAAATATACAAATGAAACTAAAACTCCCCAGCATTTTGTTAGAAATAATGCATATGTATATTCACAGTCCCTCACACATACACATCCTCCCTACCAGGCACACGTCACTGCTGGAGCGGTTTCCACTCTACAGGCCCACAGAGAAGCCATAAAACTTCTGACAGAACTATGCTTTTAAAAAACAATCTGTGCTACTCATGAAAATGTGACTGTGGAACTCACTGCCACTATAACTGTGTACTACTAGAGAAGTCATTGAAAATTTCTGCCTCCTATTGTACTTATTCCGTGGAACGTGCTAAAAAGATTGTCAAATACACAAAGAATTGAGCTTCTCGTCTGGTTGTGTGAAATTAGTCACTCTTAATTTTAAAAAGTGTTCCAAAACTAAGAATTTGAGGACATGAGTTTGAAAAGCATCCCCTTCATTAGCTGACACTTGGAATTAAAGAATGCAGACAGCCAAAACTGCCAGGTGTCAGTCCCCACATGTCTGACAAGCATGCTAGCTTTAAATGTTAGTTATAACTGGGAAAGGTATGATGTATTCCTCTGAAGAGTTGCATGTGGTTATATTCTCATTCCTTTATAAAGATAAATAAAATCAATAGATTTACTTTATAAGGCCCCCTGGTACAGGCACTAATATATCCTAAGGAGGACAAAGATATTCACATTTATTCCTTCATCTGCATCCAGCAATATTCCACACAGCAAAGACTTTGGGAATGAATCTTTAACACCTTCTTTATATTTCTAGATACTTAGAAAATATGTTAGCCTTTTAGCCCACCCATTTAACTTCGGAAAAAAAAATGCCTCTCTCACACCATTTCCACCAGCTAATGTTAGGAAAATAAAAGAGATGGGAAGCGTGTTCATGGAGCTTTGCTGAACAAGTCGTTGGTGGTGTAGTTAGTGAATAACATTGCCCATTTTCCCATATACAGGTCTGCAGGTCGGCCTGCAGATGACTGTAAAATGAGAATATGCAGCAAAAACACGGTACCTCTCCAAGAAGGCATGGAATGATAGGAACCTCATGCATTTTATAGCCTCTCCATGGTGTGTACAATTTCACCAGGGAAATACATGATCAATATTCAGAGAACACTGATCAGATACTTCGCAGGCTTACACCGACCCTAACTGTGTCCTTCAACAGCCTTGAATGGCTTGGACAAGCAGTCGGCAGCTGGTAAGGTCTTTGGGGTGAATTTATAAACACCATGAACATCTACTGGGACATAAAATGCACAAAGTTGAAGCAGGTGAGTGACCAACCTTGGCGAAATATCGCATCCCTGCTGCATAAAGGCACCCAAGGAAAACCAGAGACTATTAAAAATCCCAAATTCATTGGTCGATTCACTACTCTGTGTCTCTCTTCCGTCTTCGAACTCCTCAGTGTGCCACTCGTAGGGGCTAAATCTGCTGACCAGGAATAAAACTACACTGACCCCAATGTAGGCAAAAACAATGCACATCCAAATCTCATAGGCTAAAGGATCAAGAAAGGAAAACACTCCTGGCTTTGATTTCTGGGGCTTCTTGATCATGATTGATATCCCGAGGCTCATGAAGGGCTTGGAGAAGTCAATCACTTCCTCCCGCACGAGGGTGATGGTTAGCGGAGCAATTGCAATATCGGCTTTCTGTAAGGCAAACACAGGAGAGTAGCCATCCCTGGAGTCACAGCAGACAGAATCGTGGTTATGACGTGGGATGAAAGGGACAGGGAAGGAAATAGAGACGTGACAATTTTTATTCCCCTTGGGGAGGTCCAGTAAAGGATAAGCAAGAAAGTAATTTGTTTCCCAACATATCTTCCATTTTTAACAAATAAACAGAATACCCACCAGTCTTAATTCTAACTACACATCTATGCCTCTCTGCTTTGCCCCCTTTTATATATATATAAAATCCTGTATGCTTTCAAGATAAATGATACCCCTGCCTCAGTCACCAGCACGTTTACTTCTGGCTTCCACCTCACTCTTTCAAATATCCCCATAATAATTTCTATATGCGACATGAACAATCTCAGGGATGGATACTTTAGAAGAAAAGATGAGCATTCTGGCTACAACAGTTCAAACTGAATGACTTCACCTCAGAGGAGAGCTATACTTACCCCATATACAAGTTCTCCAACCATCCCATTCCAAATTTTCGTGTCTGCATCCCTGGCCCCATACTTGCCATCCCCGACGATTGTCAATTTGTACTTAAACCCACAGTGTTTAGCGATTTCAGCAGCCAGGTCTACACAGTAACCCTCATAGCGTTCATTGCCTTCAAGCATTTCGTGATTTTTCTTCATCATAACATATGGAGATTCCTATACAGAAAGACAGCGCTTCAGCAGATCACAAAAGCTTGATTAATTACACTCTCATTTAATCCAATCTTTAGGTCCCCTGTGAGCCACATGCGAGGAGGAAAAGACATGATGGTCAATGTTAGAGAGAACAATGGAGGTGTAAGACTTCTCAAGCAAAGATCCTCCCAGGTCTGTCCTTATAGTTTATTAAATGGCTTGTACCTAGCTATTTCAGCATAAACAAGACACACAAAAGTCCCAACCCGTTAGCACATCTGCTTAGTGTGTTTGTAATTCCTAGGGTTTCAGAAGAATGCTGCTCCACATCTAATTTACCCAACTCTAGATCTTTCCTAAGCTTAGCCAAGGTTAAGTTGTGATTAACCCGACACCCAGCATCGCCCCACAGCCCTACAATCACTGAAATCCAATGACAGATTCCTGGATTCACAGCCTGTGACACATGTATCAGGAGGACAGTCACCACAGAGATGATGGATTTTAGCCCTCCCCGCTCCGGCCTCAGGTCTCCCTTGGTCTGTGCAGTGAATGATATTCCAGAGCATGCCACTAGGACCGCTAAGAGATGCTCTTTGCTATGTGCAGAAGACAGAGGAGGCGAGAAGGAAATAACTCATGGCTGTATACTATTTGCCATCAGGAAGCGGCATCAAGGATATCTGACAATTCTGTGAGCTATTTCCATTCAGCACCAGCAACATGATCAGGGAAAGAACCCTCAAATGTCTCACTTGCACTTAGTAAGAGATTGCCCAGTGCCTAGAACCAACATTAATCTAAATCACTTAATAATCCTTGAATATTGAATATCATATTATTAGAATAATAGTTTTCACAAAGTTATTGTCCCACTGCTAAAGTAAAACAAAACACAAAAATTTTTTTCAGGGTATCATATTCAGTAATAAACTCTAATGTCTCAATTTCAGTCTTAGCACACCTTACGGGTGCAATCCACATCACTCTTCAATCGATGCGAACTTAAGATACTAATACGCAGCTCAATCTTGCTTCATTCATCTAGTATGCATCTATTTTGCACCAGGCATCTGTGTTCAAATGAAGGGTAAGAGGAAAGGAGATCAACTGTTTCTCCAAGGAAGTCATAGTTTTTATGAAGGAACAGTTGACAACATCATTAAGCCACCTGACAAATGTAAAGATAGAGTTCATTCAGAGTTGGGTGAGAATAGAAAGGCAAACCATCTGGGGAAGGGTCAGAAACATTCTCTCCGACTTTTCCCAGTTGTTCACTTGTGTATGCAATAGGGTTTGACTTATTTCCATGCTAGATTTTAGTCTAGTATGAGAGTAAAATCTGTCAAAGCAAACATCTGGAATACTTTAGCTGGAGCTTGTAGAATTCTCTCAGCAAACCCGCAATAAACGGTCATAACTGGAAAATTACCTTCATAAAATTATTACCATAAAGCAGAAAGAGTAACTGTCCTTGGAGGAGAGTTTTCATAAGAAGAAAAGCGGTGACTATGAAAGCAAATGTGACTAATTACCAGAATCGTGGTGACAACAACAGTTTTGTTCTCAAGGCCAGAGGTGTCATTTCCAGATGGGAGCTCAGTCAAGGTCACGACCATCTTGTCCACTTCGCTCCAGTATCCGATCTGCAAGAGGCCACAGCAGGAGCCACATGCACAAGGGGCCTTTATGGTACAGCATGTGTAATTATCTCAAAGCCACACCACAGCCTAAAACTACAACAATCTTAGTGGAGCTTCCGAACAAAACATGTGACCCTGGCATATGTGGATCTAAAAGCCCAATGCAAACCAAATAAAATCAATTTTGCAAAGCCGCTCGCTTCTTGTGCTCCTCCTTTTATAACCTCTGTGAGTAATTTCTCTGAGAGTAATCCCATAGCAACATGAAAGAAATGCCACACCAGGGCATTTTAACCGCGATAGTTAAAGGACAATTGTTAAATGACTAATTATAATTATATGCATATTTGTACCAGCTAAATTTGCACCAGGTAACATCAAAATAGTTTTTTCTTCTTGATATAATATTTTCCTACTGTAGTGTTAAAAAGAGAAGGTATGGCAGTTTTACTTAGAGGAACGATTTAAAATTTCATTTAAATGTTACTTACCAGAAAGGAACAGACTTGGTTCAGAAAAACACTTACTTCACATGCATGCCTTTTAGAAGCCGTTCAGCTCTTATCTTTGTGAAGGTCTTTCCTGGACTCTTCGGGACCCTGCAGTGAGCTCTTAGCTCGCTCACCCCCTAACACAGAGGCCTGCCTCTCAGTCACTAAAGGTTTACCTTCCGGGGCCCATTAGTTTTGAGCTCCATGATGTTAATTGTGTAGTTTATCCTCTTCCCATTCTGGTCAAACTTGATATTTCCGGAGAGACCTTCAACCTGAACCTGTTGAGGAGAAGGAAAACAAGCAAGAGCTCTTATTTACTTTAGCAAAAGGTGCAAACCATACAGATCAATCTCGCTGAACACGAGGGAAGAAAACTGCACCAAAAATGTCTATTTCATTCTTCAAAACAGCAACGCATTGGTGGGAAATAAAGTTACCCATATATCAAACTTGAGAACTGAAACAAGGATGACTAATGCGGGAAGAAAAATATTGATGGTCACTTTAACGACCACTTTGTAGGACTGACCTGCTTGAGGGCTCTTTCTATTTCTACGCCTTGACCCCAGGGCACTGCGGGGTTGGCCAGACAGTCTCCTGCATTCCCTCTCCGGGAGATCTCGATTCTCTGCTTCCGTAGGTTGCGGAATGCCTCAGTCATCACTTGGACCGCATCGTAGGTGAGGGCGGAGGTGTACTGAAAAAGACCACACACATGTTTATGTAATGGAACTCTACTCGGCCATCAAGAAGGATAAAGTGGAGGCTTTTATAGGTAAATGAAGGCAATTCCCACCACACTCATAAGCGAAATAAGTCAGACCCACATGTGTTAACATCAAAGTGTCTCACTAGTGTGACAAACTGAACAGTGGGTAAGAGCCAAAGTGTACATCAGATACTGTGAATTGGGAAAAAAGCGTTCAAAAGAAAAGATAAACTCTGATGGAAAGGCGAAAGGGAGTAGGGGAAAATATATATTTATACACAATGGTTAAGACAGATAGACAGCCAGGTTCTCTTAGTTCATTGAAAAGGAAGCTTTGTGCTAAGACTGTATGGACATCATGCCTACATCCTGTATCTGAATACCACAAAGATAACATATATAACACAGCATACAATGTGTTAATTATTGTAATTTTCCTACTAACCTGTCTTGAGACTCTGTTGCATTATTATTTTTATCTTTTTTACTCTAAGAAAGAAAGAAAGAAGAGAGAAAGAAAGAAAGAAAGAAAGAAAGAAAGAAAGAAAGAAAGACAGAAAAAAGAAAGACAACCCAGAACCATGCATTCCAGTGTGCAGGCCACACTGTGCATTCCTTCACTGCACAATTCAGAGACCATGCCAAAACCATGAGAAATTAAACACAGTTGGCACGTCTAGAAACCCAGGAATCCAGAAGAAGGAGTAGGGAGTGTTGGTACAATAAAATGCACTCTTCTAAATTTTGTATTTTGAGACAGAGTTTTGATATGTAGTATAGTATAGCTGTCCCTCAGTATGTAGCCCGACTCAGCTTTGAACTCACAAATCAGCAGTCTTTCCTGGCTAGTAAGTGAGTCGTTTGTCCTGTATCAAGAGCGCAGATGAGTTTCAGGACCTCCATGTCTCCCTCACCCCAGTGAGTTCACATCCCTGAGTCACCCTGGTTGATCCCGGAAATCTGGTAGAAGAACCCAGTCTTCGGGGCTTCACTGTGCCCGCTTTGTGATTTAACAGCCTGTGGTCACAGGGAACCCACTCGACCTTGTGGTGTGCAGAGCACAGGGACAGCAGAAGGTTTCCAGGAAGTGAAGCAGAGAGGAAAATGCTGCACACACGCATGGCATCGCCAGTGGCTGAGCAGGTGTCACCTCACGCTGTGTATCTGCTGTCACCCATCACACGTACAAGGCTACTGTCAGTAATAATCAGTTACCCTCTGACCCTGAAGCTTGGTTGAACCATGAGACAGTCTTTGCCAATGAGCAGTTTTCAATCTGAATGCAACTGGAGAAGGGTGTGGCAATGTCACTGACTGTGACACACTCCAAATCCATAACTGGAATTCTGAGATAGCAGGCAGGGTCCTCGGTTAATACCCTACACCTTGGTGCTAAGGCGGCTCTTCACTCACCAATGACAGCTTCGTATCCCTCACACTCTTTCCTGTGTGTCCTGACCTCCACACATGACTGGCCTGAGCTCTTGCTGATGACCTTCCTTACATACCACTGGGATCCAGAAGCCATCAAATCAAGCTCCAAATCTTTCTGGCACAGCACTGCCAGGGTCTCTGTCCTGCCTGCATCTTTGGGTGATGGCTGAGAGACCCATCCTGTTCTCCAAGGCCTGCAGTGATATGGACCGCAACTTCCTTAAAGACAAAGACAGGATTTCTGCTCTCAGCCTCTTCTCCCTCCCTGATCCTCAGCATGGGCGTCTGCACTCATGGTGTGACAGCATCTCCTCCCCCTCCCGAGACCTGCTCCTGACCATAGGCCCATGCATGCTTCCAATTTTCACTCCATTTTTCTGCTTCCTTTCCTGGAAAGTTCTTTGAGAGGAATGTTCCAAATGTACCCCTTCCCACCACCCTGCTCACTCTCTCTTTTCTCCTGTTATCTATGGCTTTGAAATCCATGTATGGCCACCAACATTCTTCACTCATGTGCCTTCAGCTGCTCTGGGCATCCTCAAGGAACCTGGTCGGTTTCCTCATAGCCTCTCCCAGCATCTGAGCATCATGTGGGTGAATTCCTGCCTCTATCACACCTCTCCAGAAAGAATATTTGCTCCAGGGAAGTACTGAGCTTGTATGCTACCCCTGGATCCTCACAGCCAAGGGCAGGGACAGGCACAATGAGGAGACTTAATAAGAAGGAAGGAAGAAAGGAAAGTATGGAGGGAGGAAAGATGCTCTGAGGTCCTCTCTGGATCCCACCCTTAATAACACTCACATGTACGACCAGTCCAGAAAAGATACATAAACAGATAGTTACACCATACTGTAACATTATAAAGAGATTACATGTGAGCCTATGCCTGATGCCTGATTTTACCATGTACTACATAAACAATAGTTATGTGGAATGACCTATAGCCTCCATGCTGCCTGAAGTTCTACAAGTTTCCATTTCTATACAGAAATGATAAGGTGAGATTCTTAGCAATCTTTATGTGGATTAGTTTAGTGGAATGATTTTCTTTTCATCATATAACTGGATAGTTTTGAAAAAGTAGAAGGAAAAGAGAAAACAAAAAAATTAGTTTAAGACTATGTACTCTATAACTGAATACTAACACATTAATAATACATTTGTATTTTTAAAATATTTTTTTCTTTTAAAGAGAATAAAACAAAAGAGAACAGAACAAAGCAAATCAGAACAGAACAATACAAGCAATACAGCACTTCACAACAAGAGAACTGGAAATCAACAGTAGCTACCATATGTCTCTTTTCTTTGGAATAGTTGAGCATACCTTCACACACAATAGTACCAAACATAACAAAATAGTACAAAACCAATCAAGAGAATGAAAGCATTATAGGACTTCAAAACCAAATAATAGGAAATGAACAATGGCTAGAATATTGTCTCATTTTTGTCAAAAAAGTTGTCCATACTGTCATACATAATAAAATCAAATAAAGTTCAACAGAATAGAACCAATCAAAACAAAAGAATAAAAGCATGATAGGACTTCAAAACAAGATGATAGGAAATCAGTTACCAAAATGTCTCATTTTCTTCAAAATAGCTGTTCATACCATCACACATAATAAAATCCAACAAAAAATCAGAATAAAACCAATTAAACAAATGAATTAAAGCATTCTAAGAACTCAAAACAAGGTAAAAATAAACCCACCATGATTACCATAACACGTCCCATTATGTTAAAAATAGTTCCCCATACCAGCAGACACAGTAAACTCTAAGAAAACAAGACAGAAAAAAGCCAAACCTAACAAAATTGTAAAAACAATACAAGCATTCAAGACAAGACAATAAGAAATTAACAGTAATTACCAGCTTTCCCTCCCAGGTGTTTCCTCACCTATCACTTTTACAATAATTATTTTGCTTTTGGATCCCATTAACTCCTGTTTCTTATGCTAGAGTTCATGCATATGAGTTCAAACTGTTTCTGCCATGAACATGATCTCCAGTTGCGTCCATGTACTTACAACAGTCTTGAGATTATTCTTCTTTAGAGCTGTGTAGCTTTCCACTGCATGATAATACCATACATTTCTTATCCATTCTGCAGTTGATGGGTAAATTCCTCTTGCTTTTTTTTTTTCTAGTCTCCTGTCACATGGAGCAATTGTTTGCTCTCCTTTGATTCTTGGGCTATGAATTGCCTTTCCAGTTAAATGTGTTTCTTGTCTACAGTATATCGATGGACCTTGTTTCTTGATCCACTCTCCCTGTGTTTCTTTTTATTGCTGACCTGAGGCCATCTACATTAATGGCTACAACCAGCATATGTTGGTTCATTTCTGTCCTGCGATCCTCCTGCTGTTGGCCCTTCACTTTTCCCCTTCATTCAACTGCTTGTCTTTTTTAGTGATCCTCTTCCGCTGCTGTTCCCAGAACCATGGTCATCTTTATCTCTCTCTATAATATCCTTTAGCAATCTCTGTAGGGTTGGTTTAGTAGTCATGAATTCCTTCAGTTGTTCTTTATCATGGAAGTATTTTATTTTTCCATTGATTTTGAAAGAAAGATTTTCAGGGTACATCAATCTGGGTTGGAATTTGTTTTCTTTCAGGGTCTGAAACACTTCACTCCAAATTCTTCTTGATTTGATGGTTCATGTTGATAAGTCTGCCATGATTCTGATTGGTTTTCCTTTATAGGTAATCTTTTAATATTCTGTTCTTGTGCTAAATTTCTGGGATCTTGATTGTTATATGTCTACGTGTCAATTTACTTTGGATATGGCTAGTTGGAGTTCTATATGCCTCATTTGTCTACATGAGAATCCTTTTCCCATGTTTGGGAAGTTTTCTGCTATTACTTCTGTAAATAGCCTTTTTATTTCATTTGTGTTGACCCCTGCTTCTTCACTTATACCTATCACTCTTTTTTTTTTTTTTTTTTCTGTCTTTTTCCTTTTTATCGGTACCAGGGATCAAACTCACGACTGCCTGCTTTTCAAGGCAGGCACTTATGCCGCTGAGTTAAATCCCCAGCCCCAGTACCTATCATTCTTTAATTATACTTCTTTACATCATCTTGCAGTCATCAAATTGTTATTTCCTCATTCCTTGCTATTTTTAACAGATTTTTCCTTTCAAAATTGCTACCTACAATCCTATCTTCAAGATTTGAAAGTCTATCTTCAGTCTCTTTCAAGAAGTTTTGCTAGGTTTCAGTTGACTTTTTAATTTCCTGGATATCTCTTTGAATGTGCTTCATGCATTGAAATTCCATTAAAATGTGTTCATTCAAGGTTTCCATCATTTTCCTATGCTCCTTTTTTTAGTCTATGTCTTCTTTAGATATGCTAAGCAATTCTATCATTATGATTGTGATTTCTTCTTTTACCTGAGACATTATTTCTGATTTGATTGCTTTTACAGTCTCATGAAGTTGTTTCTTTACTTCAGTTGCTATCCCCTCTCAAAGAGATTTCAGGTGTGTGACTTCCATTTTATTCCTGAATGTATCTGCAAGACTTGTCCTTGTGGGTTGGAGG